CTCACTCACACACACTCACACTCACTCACACACACACACACACACGCGCTCTCTCTCTCTCTCGATGTGAAGATCACTGTAGGAACACACGTGTGTGTGATTTGAGTTTGACGGTTAGTTTTTTCGTATGTTTGACAGATATTGAAGATCTGCCTCCTGCCGTTCAGGAGAAGCTCTTTGATGAAATCCTCGACCGTGACGTTCAGAAGGGTGAGACGTGAGCCGCTAGTGCATTACAGCAGCACGTGTGTCCGTGTGCTGACCGTGTGTGTGTGTGTGTGTGTGTGCAGAGCTGGAGGAGGAGTCTGCGGTCATTAACTGGTCTCTGGAGCTGGGCACGCGTCTGGACAGCCGTCTGTACGCTCTGTGGAACCGCACCGCTGGAGACTGTCTGCTGGACTCCGTTCTACAGGCCACATGGGGCATCTATGATAAAGACTCTGTGCTGAGAAAAGCTCTCCATGACTGTTTACACGACTGCTCTCACTGGTGAGACACACACATGCAGGATCTGATTGTGAAGTGTCTTCATGTGCACAACATGGACAGATTCTCTTGCTGTATCATTTTTGGATCCATATTTATGTGTGTGTGTGCAGGTTCTACTCACGCTGGAAGGAGTGGGAATCGTGGTATTCTCAGAGTTTTGGGCTTCATTTCTCTCTGAGAGAAGAACACTCTCTCTCTCACACACACACACACACACACACAAACATATATATACAAACATGCACACACACACACACACATATATATACAAACATACACACACACTCACACTCACACGCACACACACTCACACTCACACTCACTCACACACACACACACACACATATATATACAAACATACCCACACACACAAACTCAAACTCACACACACTCACTCACTCACTCACTCACACACTCACACACACACACACATATATATACAAACATACCCACACACACAAACTCACACTCACACTCACTCACTCACTCACTCTCTCACTCACTCACTCACTCACTCACTCTCTCACTCACTCTCTCTCTCTCTCACACTCACACTCACACACACACATCGCCTGCAAGCTGTGACATCGATATGAATAAAACAGGAACAAAAACTTTATTGACTTAAATTTTATTCAATTTGTTTATAAAACATTCGTCACCGAAATGCCGGGAACAAACAAACATGGCCACGTTTAGCATGAGAATCCAACTCTATAACAGTGTAAATAATCAGAATGCATGAATTCATGCTTTGAATGTTCTTGAATCACGTTGAATCAGGTCAATCTTCCTGTTTTCTGTCACTGCAGCCCGGGGCGAGTTTGGAGCAGACTCATATATTTGTTCTGGCTCATATCCTGCGGCGGCCCATCATCGTTTACGGAGTGAAGTATTACAAGAGTTTTCGTGGGGAAACTTTAGGCTACACTCGATTTCAAGGTGAGGCGATCACAAGAGCTCTTTATTGTCACATGGACAGCAGGAGTGTGGCTCACCTGTGTGTGTGTGTGTGTGTCTGTCTGTGTGTGTGTGTGTGTGTGTCTGTGTGTGTGTGTGTCTGTCTGTGTGTGTATCATGTAGTCGATGCTTTGAATGTTCATGGTCAATCTCCCTGTTTTCTGTCACTGTAGCCCGGGGCGAGTTTGGAGCAGACTCATATATTTGTTCTGGCTCATATCCTGCGGCGGCCCATCATCGTTTACGGAGTGAAGTATTACAAGAGTTTTCGTGGGGAAACTTTAGGCTACACTCGATTTCAAGGTGAGGCGATCACAAGAGCTCTTTATTGTCACATGGACAGCAGGAGTGTGGCTCACCTGTGTGTGTGTGTGTGTGTCTGTCTGTGTGTGTGTGTGTGTGTGTGTGTGCAGGTGTTTACCTGCCGTTGCTATGGGAACAGAGCTTCTGCTGGAAAAGTCCCATCGCTCTTGGTTACACGAGAGGTCACTTCTCTGCTCTGGTTGGCATGGAAACCGACGGCTACGATAATCGCGGCGCAGGCGCCAACCTCAACACTGACGATGACATCACCGTGACCTTCCTGCCGCTGGTGGACAGTGAGAGGAAGCTACTGCAGATCCACTTCCTGTCAGCACAAGAGGTGAACACACACACACACACACACACACACTGGTCAAACAGTATTCACATGTGCGTTCATGCATTTTGCAGATGCTTTTATCCATAAGTGACTTGCATTGCATTTCAGCAAAAAGATATAAAACCCTGATGGACAAGGTTGTGTAAACGGTTAGTGTTGCGATCACTCAGTATCTCTAAATGTGCTTTAAACTGTCCTCGATGGAGCGAGGTTCGCTTGTGACTCAGAACAAGTGATCAGTCACATCATTCTGGGCTTGGGATGTGCATACGCAGGATTGAAAGCCTTTCATACGAATACTACGATAGTTTTCTGCAATAAAACATAATTAATAGTTAGCATATTTATTTGTTTTATTATATCTGTCAAGCCTTTTGTCATTAAAATGAGAAAGCTGTTTAGAGTGTGTAGATATATTTATGTAGTAATAGCTACCACACATGCATTATGCATTAGAATTTAAGATTATAATTAGTAATTACACTTTTTTTTAAATTAATATTTTACCAGATGTAGCAGTAACACATATATACATGCATATATGTATAAAATATTTTATGTATTAACTAGGGGTGTGTGATATATATCGTCTGCGATAATATCGTAATTGTTGTTTTAATGATGTGCAATTATCGAGTATTTTGCAAAAACCACGTACAGAGTGCACACATACATTACGAGAAGTCTAGACTAGAGCGAGAGCGCATTTAGAGTGCGTTCTTTCACTGATTCAGTCTAATAAAGTGCATTTAGAATGATCACAAAATTCAAGATATGGGGACAGAAAATGTATATATTTATATAATTTCATATAGTTAATCAATATCAAGAGTGCCGTTTTTTCTCTCCAAAAGTTACCATGATTATAAATGTGATATTGATTTTTTACAGCAGTTCAAAAAACAAGAAGTTAATTAAGAGACTTACTTTTTAGACACCATATTGCTGGTTTTTGCACAAAAATAATTCCAAACACAGCCACAGCACTGTTCTGCTCTCTGAGCAACATGATAGTGATTCGTTCCTGAATGAATCAACCGTTTAAATGATTCGGTTCAGTCGCAATGACTCACTTATGAACAGTGACTTGCTGCCACCTACTGGCGGTTTTAATTTCACATTTAAAGTTTTTTTTATTATTTAACCCTTTGACATGTACGATCACACCGGTGTGATTAGAACTTTCAGTGCGTCACGTCATCAACTGCTGAATTTAAATCCGCTTTCGCGCTTTGCCTGGCGCATAGCCAGATCGGACGCGCAGAGCGCTTGTCATATTATCACAAATATTCATTGTTTTCAACCATATACTACTTATTTTAGGTTTCAGACGTTTAAATACACATAAGTACTAGCAAAACCATACATTTACAGTTTGTAAAATGCACGCTGATGTCTATGGAAACGGCAATAATGATCCTTACAAATATAATCTGACGACATGTTTTTATTGATATCATATACAGATTGTGTAGGTAACTATACAGTTTACTCTGCTCTTCTCCCAATTTACCGGAGACCTAATTTAAGGTGTTTCGGGAGGAGAGGATGAATTTGCGTGTTGTAAATCCCACAGCTCGGATTCAGTGCGAACTAACATGGCGGCGCCCATCACCCGGTATAGATAAACTAACACGGTCGATATAAAACTGTGTTTAAACTACCAAATAGATTTAATTGCACATATTTCAGAATCGGAATATCAGATATTTCATAAGATGGTGAGCATGTTTGTGAATATTTTGAATAAAACAGGAAAAACGAAATAAAAGCGATCCATGTGTCATACAGATCTATTGTGGCTGCGTTGTGTCACATGACAAGCATGACGCGTCGCCATGGAAACAATAAGGCGATACATTTAAAAATAACGGTCGCCTAAAAAAAACTCACGCTGGGGGCTCCGCTAGAATATTTTAAACTCACGTGCGAAAGGGTTAAATAATTTCAAATAACAGTTTTCAACGTTTTATGTTTAATATATCAAAACATTATTTCTGCATTTGTAACCGCAGGTTAAGTGTATTTATGTTCTGCATTAAACACATCTAATGCCACTTCAGACGCAGCTTCTGTGTTTCCTCTGCGCTGCAAAGATTAATTTTGTCAATACTGATTTCATTTGCTTGTTAACAGCCCAAGTGTCTTATTCTAATTCACTGATTAAATGTAAGAATTTGACTCAAAAAAAAAAAAAAACTTTTAGAAAAAGGGCTTTATAAAGGTTAAAAAAAAGGCCCATAAAAGGTAAAAATCTATTTAAACTTATTGGAAAAGATTAATTTATATCACTGCTGTGAACTGACCACACACAGAATATGAAATATATATCAAAAACTTTGAGTCAGCTGTCCACGGCAGTCCTTAAGGTACCAGCACAATAACACACTCAGCAAAATATCGTCTAATTATCGTTATCGATAAAATCCCAGAAAATATCGAGATATTATTTTTTGTCAATATCACACACCCCTAGTATGAACCATATTTAAGCAGTGTGTAATTAACAACTTAATGAGGGAGATACTCTAAACTGATCAAAATAAAAACCTGCTGGTATGAGATATTGGCAAAAAAGCTGCGGTATCGTTATTGTTATTGGACATGAAAAAGCAGTATGGAGCATCCCTCATTTCAGTTATACACAGTTTATTCCAGATTTTTCCATTTCACAGGAATCAAACCCGTGATTTATGTAGTGACGTCGGCAACTCCGGGCATGTGACTGAAAGCATGAATCTTATTGGTTGTCCACCTGTGTTTGCAGCGATCAGGGCTTTAGACTGACGGCTGATGTGTGTGTGTGTGTCTCTCTGTGTGTGTGTGTGTGTGTCTGTGTGAGCAGCAGACGCAGACATCACCCGCTCATCACGCAGATGCTGGAGAAGTGGCTTGATGGGTACCGGCAGATGCCCCCGTGTCCCACGCTCTCCGACGGCGAGGATGAGGAGGACGACGAAGACGAGTGACCCCCTGAAACCATTTCAACACTGTTCCACACACGCCCTCTTTCCCAGAATGCAATGCGACCACCCCCACGGGCTGAAAATCTTTGTGTTTAGTCAAATTAATTTTGTTTTTTTGAATTTCTCTCCAGCGAAACTGTACGTTTGTATCCACCGTATGTAATCGTGCTGCATGTGGCTCTTTAAACATGGAATGATGAGAATAAAAGTGTATTAAACGAACACTTCCACAAAGCACATGTTCTTTAGAGGATTTGAATCTGATCGCAGGAATCAGAGTTTATGATTTAACTGGCACTAAACGATTCAGTATGAAGACGTGCACATTTCTCACCAGTGTTTGTGTTTGCTTCTGTTCTTTCTCTCGCTCTGTTGTTGATTTGATTGTATTTATTTATGTCTTTCCTCTCTCTCTCTCACTGGATACTGAGCCTCGTGTTAACAGACGCCAGACTCGTACTGTGAGGAGAGTCATGAAGAGTTTACTGACATGTTGAACCTGTACCTCATTTGTGATGTCAGGTGATTCTGAACAAGAGGAGAGCGAATCACACGGCTTTAACATTAAACTAGAAACACGTCTGCTCTCTCATCTTCTGTCTGCCTCGTTATTTCCTCTGCAGCCGCCAGATAGTTGCAGCAGAACTATTAGTCCACAGAAATAATAAACATCTTACTTAAGGATTCTTACAATGATGGGCCACTTCATATTTTGTAAGCAAGGAAAAAACAGTTTTTTGGTCTACTTTGCTTCAAGTTTTTTTCCTCCTATCTATATTTTGAAGGGTATTACTGAGGGATTTGTTCATTTGTATTATATTTTATTCTTAACATCTATTTGTTTTCTGTCTGTTGACAGTATTATATGTGTTAAAAAGAGAAATCCAAAATCCCCTCATACGTCTACAAAATGAACCTGGCTTTATCCAATGTAACTTATAATAACTTGTAATACAATTTTTTTTTGGAATTCTTAATATAATCAGTGAACTGGGGAAGTATGGTGATATATATTAGTTTTTTTTAATTAACCCTATTTACCTGGGTGTATTTTTGTCCCACAATTACTCAACATATATTTCGAGTTCATCAATAGTTCACTAAATCAATAAAAAAAGTTCACTGTATCTCACTAAAACTCCCCCGGGCATTGTAATTTTTGTGTATTATTCTCAATAGTGGTTTTCATTACTCTAATACATTTTAAAATGGAGATAAAATTCAAGGTTGTACAACAAATGCATGATGTTGTTCGTTAAAGAGTCGGTACATTTGAACAAATCGTTAGGAATGAATCGTTCTGGTTTGCTGCTGTTAACTGCGCATGCGCCGAGAGGCACGGAGGAAAATGTGTTTCTCGTCGATTTAACCTTAAATCTCACTTTAGACTGGAATTTTTTTATGATGTAATGTTTTCAAAACTTTCTCACGAACACAGATTTTCAATCATTCCCAAAACAGTATAACATTAAATCTACTATACATACACGTGTAATATATGTTTTATGATGATCCGTTCTGTTTAATAACGTCTCTCTCTCTCGAGTGAATGTGCAGTATCTATTGACTACTTCAGAAAGTACGTTTTTGTACTTAAATATGAAACTGAAGCACAGAATCTTTCAGAACATGACTGAAATAATGGTCACGTTTCGCTTTTATTGTGAATCTAACAGTACTTTGTGTGTTTACACGTGTTTGGCCAGCAGATGTCCTCAGATCCTTCAGAACAGTGAATCATTCAGTAAAGCATCGGTTCAGTTGACTCAAAGTGACTCCTGGAGAGCTACATGTACAGGAGAGGTCAAAGGTCACACGTTCTCTGATCGTTCTCCTCAAAAACAAGTGCAGCTGAATAAAAGTGTTTGTTAGAGACATCACATACTAATAGATCAAATTAATTAGATATTATAGTTTAAATGAAGCCTGTTTAACTACCATGTGCTTTGATCATTCTCTTTGCTTTAAGAAATTCATACCATAACAGTAGAATAAAAAGATTTATATAGAAATGACTTTGGTTTTACGGAAGCTGAACTGTAGCAGGACTGTGTGAATTACACAACAGGAGTCGCGCATGCGCAGCAGTACATGTGTCAGGCCGCGCATGCGCACTTCTCCAACACGTGCAGAACTTCTACAAAAGAAAGTTTTTGAGTGTTTCTGAGCGGAACAGAACCGGTCCGCCTGCACAGTGCTGCGAGTAAGCGTCTTCGCTCGGGCTGTTTCGGGTCGCGTCAGGACGATGCCGCCGACGATTTATCAGAGTTCCGCCGCCGGTGAGTTCAGATGATCGATCCGGATCGGTTCTGATGCAACAGGTGCTTTCATGAACCGAAGGACAGAACTCGTGTCACTCTGATCAAAGCGCTGATTTATGCAAATTAGCGTTTATTTTTTTATTTTTGCATGTTAATATGTTTTATGAGTATTGTTAGACGGACTAGTCGTGGTAAGAAACGGATCGATCAGGAAGATCTCGAGCAGTCTAATGCAGCGCCAGTCATTTCTCCTGTAATTAGTCCAGTCAGCTTGATTTCTACAGCGCTTTATACAGTACAGATTGTGTCAAACGGGAAAAACGTGTGCTGATAATGCAAGAGTCAGTGCATTGTTGATTCAGTGATGTACTGCCAGAAAACCCACATGTTATTGATCAGGAGCGCATGTGTGTCATGTTGTGTTGTGTTGTGTTCAGATGATTTTCTGGTCAGTGTTATCGCATTGGATGAAAACTTACTGACTTCACAAAATAATTTTTCCCACCTGTTACACTTGTGGTGTTCCCCTTCAGAAATGACCGGCCAACAAAAATAGTTTATAAATCTCTCATTATCACCAAATCCTGGATCCAGTCTTTTTATCAGCTTGTTTTCTTTCAGTTAGTACAGGTTTTGTATTTATTTTTGGAACTGATTGATTTTAGGCCTCATTGATCTGAGCTCATGCACCAGTTTTTGAGTGAACATTGCCAAAATTATTTTAAAAAAGAATGTTTTTTTTCACTCAAAATCTGAATGTGACACTATTTTCTTTAAAGTTGATTTACAGTTGAAATTTTACATGAACACTGTTATTGTCCCGTTTATTACCATGGAGCAGTGTCTGTATTTTATTAAGTGCTTTGTGTGTGTGTGTGTGTGTGTCTGTGTATGTGCGTGTGTGTCTGTGTATATGTGTCTTATGTGTGTGTGTGTGTATATGTGTGTCTGTGTATGTGTGTGTGTGTGTGTGTGTATGTGTGTGTGTGTCTGTGTGTATGTGTCTGTGTATGTGTGTGTGTGTCTGTGTATGTGTGTGTGTGTGTGTGTGTGTGTGTGTGTGTGTGTGTGTGTGTGTCTGTGTATGTGTGTGTGTGTCTGTGTATATGTATGTCTGTGTATATGTGTCTGTATATGTGTGTTTATGTGTATGTGTGTGTCTGTGTATATGTGTGTCTGTGTATATGTGTCTGTGTATGTGTGTGTGTGTCTGAAAGTCTTAATCTTCCCTTCCACGAATGAAGGTCTTAAATCAGAGCAGAACGTTTTTACAGATTAAGTCGTGGCATTAAATGTTGCAGCGCTGCAAAACATGCATCTCTTCCTCAGTGTTTCTGTCTTGTTTTCCAGAACAAATCTCTAAACATCCTTAAATCAAGACACTTTTACTGGAGACGCACAATGAAGATATGAAGTCTTGTTTTCTGAGATTCTGATCAAAATGAAGTGAGTTTATGATTAAAATATTTGTCAAAATGGAATGAAAACTTGTTTTCTTTTTGAATTCAGTAGATTTTTCTGAACCCATTGACAGATGCTTGTTCTTGTTTTAATCATAAACCCACTTAATTTTGATCAGTTTCTCATTAAACAAGACTTTGATGTCATTTTGCCTCTCCAGTAACTGTATCTTGATTTAATAATCTTTTGACATTTGTGCTGGAAAACAATACAGAAATATAGTGGAAGAACAGCACTTTCTTGCAGTGTGATCAGAAGGTACAGTAAGAGTAATTTCTATATTTTAGAGTTTGTGAGCAGAGATATTCAAGCCTTGAGCTTTTTTGTGTGTGTGTGTAAAATGAATTAAAAAGTAATGGAGATCTTTTAAAGGTGTATTTTCAAACATTTAAGTGTTGCTAATACGAGACGTTTTTACATTTAGAGGCCATATTTTACCGTCCCATTAAATTTGATCCCTAGATTTTCTTTACTTGGTCTTTAAAAGGTTTGAGAAAGTCTTAGATTAGAGCTAATTAGAATTTTTTGTTTCTTGTCCTTAATTTAAATTTTTTAATGACATTACTTATTTGGTCTTTCTTTGATTACTCTGCATATTTTTGCATTCGTGTTAAATTGTCTGTGTGTGTGTCTGTCTGTGTATGTGTGTGTGTCTGTATGTGTCTGTGTGTGTCTCTGTCTGTGTGTGTGTCTGTGTGTGTGTGTGTCTGTCTGTGTATGTGTATGTGTCTGTCTGTCTGTCTGTCTGTGTCTGTCTGTGTGTGTCTGTGTCTGTGTGTGTGTATGTGTCTGTCTGTCTGTATGTGTCTGTCTGTCTGTCTGTGTGTGTCTGCCTGTGTGTGTCTGTGTCTGTGTGTGTGTATGTGTCTGTCTGTCTGTATGTGTCTGTCTGTCTGTCTGTGTGTGTCTGCGTGTGTGTCTGTCTGTCTGTCTGTGTGTGTGTGTGTGTGTTGCGTGTGTCCGTCTGTGTGTGTGTGTCCGTGTGCGTCTGTCTGTCCATGTGTCTGTGTGCGTCTGTGTGTGTCTGTCTGTGTGTTTTTGTGTGTGTGTCTGTGTGTGTGTGTTTTTGTGTCTGTCTGTGTGTTTTTGTGTGTGTGTGTGTGTGTGTGTGTGTGTGTGCGTGCAGATCTCTGGCACTATCGTGGATAAGAGCGGCCGCACTCTCTCGGGTCAGACGGGCGAAGCGTTTGTCATCAGCCTGTCTCACGCTCAGCCGCTGTGGTGAGAGTCAGTCTGTCACAGACTCCTCATGTCGTTTCTTCAGTGAAAGTTATATTTGTAAGTGATGTGTTCTCTCTTGTCTGTCAGTATTGGTCTGAACTGTGCTCTGGGAGCGACTGAGATGCGTCCGTTCATTGAAGCGATAGGAAAGCGCACGGGAGCGTTTGTCATCTGTTATCCAAACGCAGGTGAACTAATAACCGGATGCACCTGACGACTGTCTGAAATGATTCTTGTCCCATAATGCACAAGTGTCACATGCTTATGCTTTAAATAGAGTCTGTATGTTCTCTGATCTGTGTGTTGATTTCCAGGGCTTCCCAACACATTCGGAGGCTACGATGAAACCCCTGACGTCACAGCGTCTCATATGAAGGTCACTCAGTGTTACACAAGCCCTGTGAATGTGTGCGATGCTCAGATTCGTTACTCATGATGTTCCCGTGTTGTTTGCGGCAGGAGTTTGCGGTGGACGGTTTGGTGAATATTATCGGCGGCTGCTGCGGAACGACACCTGATCACATCCGGTGTGTGTGAACGATTGATCCTGACGGCTCTGGAGTGTGTGTGAGTGTGGAGATCGCTGAACTGTGTGTGTGTGTGTGTGTTTCAGGGCGATTGCTGAAAGCATGCATCACGTCAAACCCCG